ATAAATCAATCAAAAATAAGCGTGTGGGGTATATGGAAAGAAAAAAGACAATTAAAGAATGATTTGTAGAGATTCATCAGTTCAAATTGGTGTTTACTGCTCCTTTCTATGTTGCACTAACCAGCCGATTTTTGGGGGGGAAGGCTATTTTCCTATTTTTTTTTTTTTCTGAATATGCTAAACCAATCCCATAATTTCACAAATTTGAATTATTCTGACATCACACCTCTCTTCTCTATTGTGAGACGTTTTAGCAAAAGACGCTAATGGGCCAGTTTTGAATTACTGAAACCAATAGCTTTTAGAATTATTTGAAGTGACATTTGAATAATTGATTTAAATTTAAATTCTTGGCTCCAAGCCTGAGGGGTACAAAATCCAAAGAGACTGCAATTGCGTTAAGATACCGAGATTGATAATTCATTTCCACTGTTGTATTACCCTCACCTTCGAAGCTACCGCCTATGCATGATTTTCTAATCTTTCGAAACTGGTCTATTTTAACTAACTCTGGCCTGGGTCCAAGAACCTTTTTACCAGTGGTCAGGGCTACTGTCAAGTGAGCGCGCAGGTTTTGGCATTTTCCACGGGTATTCTTTCGTACATTTCAACGGTACATAGCCTGAGAAAACAGCCGACATTTGGCGACGCTACCACTGGTTTCCCCGCCAAATGACGTCGGAGAAACGAGCCCAGAAATTCCATACTGATGACGCGTCACTACTCGGATCTGGGTAGTGACGCGTCATCAGTATGGAATTTCTGCACTCGTTTCTCAAACGTCATTTGGCGGGGAAACCAGTGGTAGCGTCGCCAGATGTCGGCTGTTTTCTGAGGCTAAACATCACAAAGACAATGTGGCTTTGACAAAAACTATCTTTTATAATCCGTGTAGACTCAATAAAAGTTATTGATTGTTCTACACGCTGAAGTTTTGATTTTTTTATTTTCCTTAGTGGTCGCATTACACAGTGGACCTTAGTACCTGATGGCGACAAACATTTTCGTTCTGAATTTCTATAATACGATATGAAGTGATTGCACTTAAATGACCAGTCTGGTTTGCTTTAACTTTCTTCCAACGGTTATTATAATTTCATCAACAAAAAACACGTGATCACTGCGCGTAAATTTTACATCTAATTTTGATAGAAAAGGACCAAATGACGGAGTGGAACTGGTCTTTTCTTGGCCGAGTCAAGGTAAATAACAACCGGCAAAGACAATATTGCTACCTGCTGAGTTGTACTAAGCTACGGAATTTGTTGGTGTATCCAAGCTTAGTCCTTTAAGAGATGACATCAAAGCGTGCTCCAAACTCTTGCGCGTAGTGTATAACACCATGCCTCGATCGATGTTAAAATGTTTTTCAACGATTTGTATTTTCCTGTCATTTGCAATTTTTATTTCTTTTCTTGATCGCGTTTTCAATAGTTTCAATAGCTCGAGGTACAAACCAGTGACTAAAACTACAAACTACGACGAATATGGACGTATTGTGCCAGCTAAAGGGGGAAGCCCTAGCCATTCGATTGCTAGAGACAAGAAAAGTATATTGAGTGGAACTGCCAACAAACTGGACATCAACTCATTACGAGAGAATAATAATTCGTCTAAGACTAAACTGATGGGATTAGAATTTCATCAAAGCTTGGACGTGTTTAAACGTGACTGGTGCCGACTGCAAAAAGCTCGTTTAGATTGGAAAGAAATTCTACGTCCTTGTTTAAATTTAACCGTCTGGTCACCAATAAAACCAGGATTTGGAGTCAATCAGATAACAGACCCTAGCAAGAGTTTTATTTCAGGGTGGAACATAAAAGCAGCCGGAGAATTCAGCCGATTTGTTATTCGGACGGTATCGGCAGGTAATGTGGAAAAAACTATCGGAGGAGACTCATGGAGAATTCATATTCAAGGTCCGTCGTCTTTGGCACCAACCATTTTTGACCACAATAACGGAACCTATGAGGTTTTATTTCTTATAATAGAGGATGGAGATTATGAAGCTAAAATCTTCTTGGATTACAGCCTTTGCCACGGATTCAAAGATCCCCCTCCATATTGGTTCAAAAAAGGTAAAATATTTTTAGGTCAAAGTGATCAAATTCGCACATAGGCTCGGTGTATCGATGCCCCACCGCGCCCGGGCACATCGAGACAACCAAGGCTGGAGATTGAGTATACTTCGTTGACAAACTGATTAATATTTTGGATCTAAGCCGGTCCCAGTAGAGTTTTATTGCTAAAATTTGCCAGTTAAGCCACCTCTGTACAAAAATCGTTAAGCATAAAATCTGGAACAGGTTCTTATTTTCTCATAAAATCTACAAAACGATTATTTACACCTAAGGCGAATAAGAAAAGTCAGCACTGCAACTGCAATTGTAATGGTATACAGGTTTTACCTAAGGAATGAGCTGACTTACCACTAAGTGCTGTCAACTACAATGTACTATTAGATTTCCTTCAGAAAATACGAAGCTAATTAAGAGCCTAAAAAGCCTAAATTTGTGCTTATTGCCATTTATGTAAAAACCTGCATGTTTAGGCTGATTTTGGAAAATGTAGGTTAATTCTTAGTGGCGGGTCAGCGCAGTACCCCAGAGTTTCAGTACTGTACTGTACGGCTTCAATTTTTACTACCTGCCAACAAGCCCCATTCGTTTTTTGCCGGTTTGTTTGGTTACTTGTTTCAAAATCAATCAATTGTTAAGGGAACAGAAAAGCAGGACAGTATATTCCCCGTACACCATGTGGCTGGTCGAAATAAAGAGAACTTGGCAGAAAATTTAGATTATTAATTTTTAGACGAAAGCCTGACACAGTAAAATCCCGCGACCAAGAGCCTGCATTTTTGCAAGTTAGCCTAAACAGGTTCTTACATAAAAGATAATTAGCACGTCAAATTTAGGCTATTTAGGTTCTTAAATAGGTTCTTATTTTTTTTGAAGAAAAAAAAAATATTTGCGGAAAGTCCATTAGCCGCATATGGCCGATATGTATGTACGTTGATTGTCACCCGTATACGTTGTTTACTCATCAAAGCAAGTCATGGTCTCAAGAAATTGAGTGCGACAGTACAGTGTATGTTTATTTTTTTATGCTACTACATGAGAAATTTTTGCAATCTGATTGGCTTAGGGCAGTGGTATTTCAGCTTAATTTGAAATATTACAAACCTTTTGTGGGTAGTAGTATAGACAAATAATAGCATGATTTGTACGTGATATTTGGCATAAATACCACGAGTGAAATTTCAAAATTGTCTCAAATTTCACTCGCCTGACGGCTCGTGAAATTACGTATAACAATTTCGAAATATCACTCGTGGTATTTATGCCAAATATCACTACAAATCATGCTATTACCTATACAAATTCCGCATCAGAATTGGCTTGGTTTTTAATTAAAAGTAATAGACCCTTGATTTGGACCAATCTGACATCGATGAAAAAACGAAGCCCCTTAAAACTAGTTACGTTGCCGAGTTTGAGGGTAAAAATCTGATTCTATGGTGTGTGTGTGTGTGGCAAGGAAAACGGGTATAGTTTGTGCCCCTACCAACTTGTTGAACGAATTATCAGTTCACTAAGATAATTCAACACGTGACTGAGGATATTCCTCTTTTTCTCTTTAGGCAATTCCCAAGGTAAAAACCAGCCTGATGGCATCCTTAAAGGGGACCGGCCCTACTTAATAGCTCCTTTCAGGGATGGAGAGAAGGTGACTTTTCATATTCCACCATCAGCGAATAATCTGCGATACAGTAAGTCAGTACTGATCAACTGCCGAAACAATTAAACAAACAAACAGCACGGAAAGTGAATTATTATCCTTTAAACTCTAGTGGGCTGGATAAGGTATGCGCGAAGGACCAGCTGCATGAATATTGTTGGCGCGGTCATTCATAGCAGATCGAAGGAAAACTATTCATTTTGCATATCCGTTCTGTACAATCACAGAGAGTTTGTTATGTGAACGTATATATATATTGTGCCTGGTCAAGGCCTGTTGCATGGATAAGCTAAAGATTATTGTAGCTCAATGGGAGCTGGCTATCCAGCCTCCTAAACACACTTTCTTGGGGCTTCTTCGCGCCTTCCTGCGTAGGAGACTACTGGCTCAGTCCAAAAGTTTGATTCACCCCTTACCCTTTGTACAGTCAACATTTTTTGACGGACACCTCCATAAGACAGACACCTCGCTAAAACGGACACCTAGAGTTGGATCCTTCCTTTCTTTACTTACTTTGATTGACTGTCTCTAAGACGGACACATATAGTGCCGGTTATTCTCTAAGACACTTTTGTCTTAGAGAGAGTCTAGAGAATTGTTTGTCTTAATTCTAGAGAGTCAGCTAAAAGGAGTAATGAAAGGCAAGGGTCACCAACTCTAGGTGTCCGTCTCACAAAGGGTGTCGGTTAATAGAGAGTTGAATGTAGCGAATAAAACATACCTCATGACAGACGCAAATGGAAGCGCAAAACACGTACGCCTGATAAACGTTCCCTCGTGTGTTTATCACATCAGTGATAGAAAATTGAGGTCTGCGGGAAGACTGCTTTTATACTCATAAAATGGACTTCAACCCCTTCAAACCAAACACTTTATACATTATACAGTTTCAATAGAAATATTCCTGCTTGCTAATTTTTATACATGAACTTGCTTAAGCTAGATACAGGACTCGATTAACCGAACGCTATTAGTACACGGAAAAGCTACGGAAGCGATCCGTTTCCTTGTGAGCGACATTAATTCTCTTCCTTAATCATAACTTATTTTGAATCTGAATAAATAGTTGACGCCTTGGTAAAAGTTAACTACATATGTGACACGTCATGTAGAGCTATGATCTGGGATGGATTTGGTAGATGGGTCAATGGGCAATGGAAGCCTTACATTAAAGGTAACTGTCTCTTTTTCATGACGATATTTTAAATGCACGAACAACGAAATTAGGCTGTATCAAGTAAACACAGTAGCCTTGTTATCGCCATGATGATATATATATTTAGCCAAAGCTAAAATCCAAGCGTTCATTTATATACTTTTAATTTACTTAAAATCCAAAAATCCCGAAATTTATACTTAACTGATTTTAAAACAAAAAGAGAAAGTATAGATCAAATTCAATCGCAGTAATAGTTTTGGAAAAGAATTGTGACCCCTTCGCGTGCGTCTGACCCACTCCCCGCCGCCCTCCCCCCTCCCTTATAACAACATCGCTTTGAGAAGCTAATAAAAATTATAAGAGGATAATTAACCTTTATCAGGAGGCGGGCTCCTGCCTTTATCCTCTGTTTTTGAAATTTAATTTTTTATTAAAGGCTCATTGTCATTCACGAATCTGGTTGGCTGCGTCCAGTTTAGTTAGTGGTAGCCTGCAGTGCAGGCGTATTTTGGGTGGGCGAAACCTTGTTCGTGTTCGTAATATTGTTGTAGCCGCCATCTTTGATTTTATGACAGTGGAAGATTGGGGAGAGTAGAAGTAGTAACCCCGCTCCCTTTGACTCGCCCTATCTCCTCCTCTCTTCGGGAAGTTTCAGCATGGCGCTTTCGCGGGCAATGCGCGCTGAAAGAAAACGCCTGCACTGCAGGCTAAGTTAATGGTTATAAGTCAATATTTTCGTCTCAAAGGGATTTTACCCAAATGGTAAATTAGGCGACTGATTTTCTTTGTTTAGAATATGTATTCTTTTCAATTAGGCTGTATCAAGTAAACACAGTAGTTGTAATGTTTATTGTTATCGCGATGATATTAACACATCTCATTGTTGTTTACAGACATCATTTTAAAGGATAATAGAAATCAAGAAGGTTTCTTCTTCAGTTTTGGAGATTCCGTTTCGAATATGTTTATCAGCTCCCTTACATCTGGTCCTTACCGTAATCTGTGCAAGAAGACATTTATCGCCTGTCGACCTATTTACCACTGGGTGTACGACATGGCAAAATACTGGGGCGATGGCGTCAAATCACCAAGGGAACCTCTCCCTGATGACGCTGATTACGATCACGAACGAGTTATAAATGACATCAAAAAGGTAAACTTTAAATTTTAAAAGTATAAGATTGAAAATTTTAATACTCATAAATGGGGACTACGGTCAGTTTGGTTGCGGAATTACCTTGTTCCATCTTTCCATCATACAAATTGTAGCCGACGAGCAAGCTCTCCCGGATGGACGCAATGGCGCACGGGCACCCAACGACTGTTATTTGTAAAATATCTGATCGGAGAAGCAAAAAGTACCTAGAATTTTCTATAGCTTGAGGAAGGCTAAAACTTCTAGATGACCTTTCTATTCATGTACAATTTTCGTAGCATATCTTATAAATTCCCTACGATTTTCTAAAGTTTAATTTTTTGCATTCCAGTCCCCAAGTTAGCCTACTTTTCGAAGAAAAAGGAAACCTTAAATCTTCGGATTCGAAAATTTGATGGACAGAGGAATCAGAAAAATTCTCACTTTCCTAAAACTTAAAATTGCATCTAAAATTTTCGGGCATATAATACTGAGGGCCTTGTAATTTCGAAAATACTTGAGTTGCCTTAGGACAACCGAACGGATGCAAATTTTATAGCGCCGCTTATAATGTATTTTTAAAGATCTGAAAGTACTCCGGATAGTCTAAAAAGTGTTTCAATGCATTTAGAAGGAAACTGTCATTGTTTGCCTCTGTTTGCGGCTGGGCTTTCCCCCCTAAAAATCTTAAAGATCTAAATTGATCGGCAATGAGAAACCCTGGCCGTACCTGTTGCGGGGAATAGCCAGAACACGATGCAAATGGAGGACCTAATAATTTTTTAGTTGGTAAAGTCCTATATTCCTCTCATTATACCTCTCTTTACCGCTTTACATCGCCTCATTCAACGACCTATAAACTTGTTTGTTTTCCAGACTTTGTTTAACCCGGAAATAACTGAAAAGAGTGTATTGATGATGAACATGGGAATCCATTTTGCTGCTGCGGTGAATTTTACTAATTACCAGCGAGTTATCGAACAGTTAATACGCCTGCTGAAGGATGGCGGCGAAAACAAACCTGCCAAATATATCAGCAACTCTTTTAAGGGGAGGTTTATATGGAAAACGTCAACTGCCATTCACAGGGAAAGATTTCCAAATCCACATAAAGATGTCCGTCGGTTCCTGACTTTTTCACGCGTTAAGTTGTTCAATGCCTATGCCCTTTCAGCCATGTGTCGTGCTGGTATTGACGTCATAGACGTTTATCCAATAAGCGAAGCTTATCCTGCTGGAACTGTGTCGCAGACTGATCCTGTGCATTATGCTGATAATGTGTTTAGGGAGGTCGAGGGATTGCTTTTTAAGATGTTTAGTCCGTAAAAATGAAAGATCTGATTCTGGATGGTCCGAGTATGAGAGGGCTATGGTCTCCACTCCTAGTGCGCTTGGAAGTAGAGACTTCATACTGAGGGCTTGTTTCCCAACACGCCACCAAGAGGATAAAGTTCCTCCTCCATTTGATCCACAGAAACATGGCGTCGTCCATTGATTAGATAAAAGGGATCATTTTGTCGGTACACACTGACAAAGCAAGTCCAAAAGTAGGGTTCTCGTTCAAGAACGAAAAAAAAATTGAAACCCTTTAAAATAATAAACTAGAAAAAAAAATAAAATTAAAAATTCAATTAGCAACAGTTTACCATAACTACGTTCATGTTTTCGCTACAGCAAGTGCGCCTTAACTCTGAAGGGAGGTGGGAGGCAGTCTGATTAATCTTGTAACCATCATTCATTCATGGCATTCTCTCTTGGTTTGTTTTAAAAGAGAAAAACGAATTAAAAATTATATAAGAAATTACATTATAATATGAAACAAACAATACAAAAGAAGAGTTATACAAAAAGAAAAAAAATAAACAACAACTTATTGATTGCGTGATTTTGCTTTCATTTCCTTTCTCATTTGAATTTCTATGTGGATATAATATCTACTACTATTTTAGAATTATTTTTTGGCATTGTTTGGTGTAAGGGTCTGTAAATAAATAACTCATTTTGTCTTCATCACAGTAACGCTGGCATAAACTTTCTGTTTTGAGATTAGTCACGAAACTAAGGCCCTGCATCTCCCTCGACCTGCAAATATGCATGAAGAAAAGTTGTCCCCTCTTGAAAAGGCTTCACTTCCAGTTGACGTGCGTTCAAACCTTAAAAATAGAGAGGATGAACAGTGTATAAACGTGACAATCAAACCATTCAAAAAACATAAATTATTCCGACAGTAAATTACAGGACCTAAACACACAAAAAAGAATCAATTGTATTTCATTCTGGCCGAGTTTACTTTCTTACTCACAATTTCACTGGCAAGGCACCTAAAGGACATCTTTGATAATGATGATGATGATGATGGAACATTTGACCTTATTTCAAATAAAATATGAAATTCTCAGCCTACAACGCTCTATAAAATTCGCATAAAATGCTTCACTATATAGACACGAGTGTTTTACTGGAAAATACACCACTCGTAAAATTGATAAAAACTACATCCGGGACCCGAGTGGTTTATTTTACATAATCTCACACGTGAGTTTATCGATGACGTAATTTTGGTAATTTCTCTCTATTATTTTATCGATGTCATTTTGTCTATATAATATAAAGAACATTACATAGCGGCTTGAAGATATGAATTTTATTTTCTCGTGTGAGTAAAATATTGTTTTGCCATTCATATCTTCGCGCCACCGTGTAATATCCTCTCTATAATGTCCATAGTCATGACGACGATGGTGATAATCGGAGCTTGGGTGACCTGTGATCGCACGTCGTGACGTGACAATTTTCAACATGGCGACGAAACATCGGGTCCTTATCACTGGAGCGTCTGGCCTTCTAGGGCGAGCAATTCTAAAGCAGTTTTCTAACTCCGATAGCTGGGAAGTGTTAGGCCTTGCTCATTCGCGGGCCACAGGGGCTCTAAAAAAGGTAAATCTGTTGGATTTCGACGAAGCGCAGCGAGTTGTGACGGAGTTCAAGCCCCATGTGTTGATCCATTCTGCCGCAGAAAGAAGGCCAGACGTCGTGGAAAACGACGAGGAAACTTGCGAAAAAATGAACGTGGGTATAACTAAAGTCTTAGCAACAACCATAAACGATTTGAACAATGGATTGGAAGTCCCGGAACATTTTATGCTATATATCAGTACCGATTATGTGTTCGATGGCACGAGTCCACCTTACAAACCTATAGATAAGCCAAACCCGTTAAACAAGTACGGAAAAAGTAAGCTGGCAGGAGAGAAAGTGGTGCAGACCTGTCTTTCTGATTCGGGAATCCTCCGAATTCCAATTTTGTACGGAAACGTGGAATATTTGAAGGAAAGTGCGGTCACAGGTTTGTAGCTACTGGTTATTTATTTTATTGATTTTTTTTGTACATATCTCCATGTATTTTTGCAGTTTTAATTGTCTGTCTTATTTAAACTTAGTTGATGGTCTGTCTTGTATATGGGGTCTTTGACTCTTTTACAGATCGTAGCTATTGTATTAAAACATTCATGGTATGGGAAGGATTTTGACTAGGATCTTATAATCTTCCACATTATTTTTTACTTGCAAAGTTGCATCTTTTTTTACATTCAATTTAATGTTCAAGTTCATTGTTTATTAATTTATGAGTGAAGGGTTCAGCTAGAATTATTTCTGTAAGTTACTTTTTGTGTAATAGTTAGATAGCCTTGTAACTTAGGGGATTTAAGGTGAGACGTTAATTGTATGGGAAGGATTCTGACTAGCATTTTTGGTTTTGTGAATTCTCTGTTTTATTATTCTAGTTCTCTTTGAAGCTCTGAAAGAAACTGGAAAACCTACCAAAATGGATGATTATGCATTCCGGTATCCTACCCTGGTTGATGACATTGCCACAGTTTGCAGATTCATTGCAGAAAAGCGCATCACAGATTCTTCTTTCAAAGGAATTTGGCACTGGAGTGGAACAGAAGTCATGACAAAATATGCAATGGTTTGCCAAATGGCAGAGATTTTTGGTTTATCACACAGTCACCTGATTCCAAATCCTGATGCCCCTAGTGCTGGAACTCCAAGGCCCCACAACACTGCTCTTAGCTGCTTGGATCTGGAATCCATGATGGAAGACGGTGGGGCAAGCATGCGCACTCCATTCAAGGAAGGAATCAAACAGTGTCTGCAGCCTTTTGTTTAACTTACAAATTTATCAAGCTGAAATGTATGCTCTGTGACTGTAGTATTTTGTCCGTATATTGATTCCCCAGGGCTTGAAAAAAGGCCCATGTACATGTATAGTAGTCCAGGACAAGTACATTTCTTGCTGGGCAAGTAACTTTTAAAGCTTAGTTAATGCCCTTGTTTTACTTACACATTAATAAGGCTGAAATAAATGCTCTACAGTATTTTTTCCTAAGTATTGATCCCCCAGGGTTTAAGGAAAGTCCTGTCCAGTAGTCTGGGGCAAATTTCAAATAGATTTTCTTGCTGGGAAAGGAAGTTTTAAGGCTCACTTGCCCAGTGGGAAACGGTCCAGGTAAGTCACCCTTTAACCAAGTCATTAACTGAGACGAGCAAGAAGTGGCCCCAGGCTTCTTGCCCAAAGGACTTGCTGGGATTCAAGTTGTTCTTGAGCCCTGTTCTCGACAAAATATTACTAAGGCTATGGGATACCTGCTACCTTTAAACACCAGTTAAAGAGTATGTACCCAGCATAGTGATAAAAAGGTTAATATTTTAATATGAAAATTCCCTACAGTTTGGATACTTAAAGTAAATTTTATAAGCCAAGATAAAGATAAAGATAAAAGATATTTTATGTTAGTAAAATCCAACTAGTGGTCTATTATCAATTCTGCGTTCTGATTGGTTGAGCTACTACTAGGCTATCTGTTATAGCCCACTAGTAGCGAAAAAGCACGAGCTTTGAAAAGCAAAACAGTGGTAGTTGAATCACGTTTTGCTAGCTAAAGTTGTTTTGTCTCGATATCTTTGACTAACTATTTGGATTTTACTAAAAGAATTATTCTTCTCCCCCCCATGGCCTCTGAGTCAAGAGCCTATTTCGGCTCCAAGCTCCTACGTAAGCGTCGCTACGCAGGCTATGGGCGTGAGGAAAAATAGCCTGCGAGCAAGCTCTCCATTTTGGGATATAGTGAAAAGTAGATACGCGAGACGCTCGCGAGAGGAGACGCGAAAGCGGGGGGCAGCCCCTCGCGGTTTTGCCGCTCGCTCGCACGTTCTCCTGCGGCTTACTTCGCTCGCCGAAATAGGAGAGTTTGCTCGCAGGCTAGAGGAATAATTGTTAAATAACAACTAGTGCAAAATAGCTACAAATAAACAAAAGAAGACAATAGAATTAGTGCATACTTGTGGGAAGTTTTCTACTACCTTTTCACGGGTTAAGTAAAATCACTCTAAATGCTGACATACGCAAACAACGTAACAAAGAGTACACACAAAGAAAGTGAACACAAAAAACAAAAGAAAAGAAACTGAGCATAAAATATTAATGAACATCAATGTTATTAATGTGTAGTTGGTTTTAATAAATAGTAGAAAATAAAGAGGAAAAATTATTTATTTAGTCAGCCAATAAGATATTAGGTTGTTTATGTATTTGTTTAATTTTTTTATTTTCTTTTACTAAACTGGTAGTGTGGAATCAAAAGGTCGGGTGGGTTTTCTTTGAGATCATCTAAGTTAAGAGTCGAAATCTCAGAATCTTTGGAATGTTTGGATTCCCTAGTCTTTTTTCAAATTATGCCTAACAGTATTCCCTGATAATGAATCTAAACTTACCTCTTGAAGGATTAACAGTGAGTAAACGAAGTTGACTTGACTTGAAAATGCGCATCGATCTACGGTATTTTTACTAATACTCGTGGTGCCCTGAAGTACTGAAAATCGAGAACGCAAATGCTACAATCGGTCTCAAAGTTTGGACCGTTGATGCAAAAAAATTAAAGAAATCACTTTGACACCCTGGGCGCTTTCCATTTAGAAAAAAAACCCGGAAATTTCGGTGGGAGCAAAAGTGGAATTTCCGATTGATAAAAAGTTGTTCCATTTGGTCTTAAAGGGGCCCCGGTACGTCGCGGTGCCCGACTGTGGACCTGGAACTGGTACAAACTACGAGAAACGTAAATGGAACAAGACATTCCGTTCGGAAATTCCAACCGGGAAAACGGGCCCACCTTTTTAGATTTTCCACTTTTTCTGGGAATTTTCCAGTGGGATGAACCGACGAAACGTGTTCCATTTACCGCCGAACCGGAAATTCCGGAAATTTTGACCAAATGGAAAGCGCCCAGGCCTGTCACGTTTTTTCAGTTTATGACGTACATGTAAACGTCTATGCATATATTTTATTAAACCTTCCGGGATGCCAGTTCAGAATCTCAGGCGTGAATTTAAAGGCGATATCGTATTGCGTTGTTGTTAAACACACATTTATACTCCAAAACTGTATCATAGATGTCATCGTCTGCTTGGAAGATCATATTGTTGCGTAAGTTCAGTGTGGCTTGTTGTTGATATTCTAAATGGAATCATTGATATACTCTAATCATAAATTCCTTGCACTCGGTGAATATTCATTTGCGTTTATCGTTCTCCGGGCACAACGGCTGATATTTGCCAAACAAAGTTGAGCAAATTCTCCTGGTAGAAAATAATATAACGAATAAAAATTTTACTGGCCGGAGGCGATCTAGTTCACCGATAGTTACAAGCGTGGTCGATGTCCGAGGCCCCCAGATTACAATGCAAATCCAGCGTTCTAACCGCCCGGTCGCGGTGCCTCTCCTCTTTTAGGAAGACTTTCTACACTGCAACGTGTGTGCCGTCATACAGACTGCTGAGTTACAATTGAGGATTTATTTCCTTCTTTACACTTACACAGCTGCTGCCTCTGCTCTTATGGTCTTTGTGTAGCGCTTTGAATTAATGTACTGCCTAGTCGTATTGAAGATTTCACCCATATTCCATACAATCTCTTAACATCCTTTAGGTAAATTGTCACTCTCGTCAGACTCAGACTCACTAACCTGACCACTAAAGTTTATCAACAATCCCTTCCACAAGGTCTTCTCGTATACAAATGTGGCCCTTTGCCGTTTGGAAAATGAGACGACCCTGGAGACGAGGTTTGAAGTTATCACTTTATTTGATACTGCGCCAGTAAGGAATAATATGTCTTTCTTCCTTTTCAGATGTCATCTTTCTGGATGCTGTAGAATCTGCGGATCGTAAGTCTAAACGTATATGATATACCTACGGTGGCCCACAACTGTCACGGCAAAACCAAAAACCTCACGGCAAAAACAAAATACCTCTCGGCAAAACCGAAAACCTCCCAGCAAAACCAAAAACCTCACGGCAAAACCAAAAACCTCACGGAAAAATACCTCACGACAAAAGCAAATACCTCACGGCAAAAGCAAATACTCACGGCAAAACCAAAGCTATTTTGCTTTTGCTGTGAAGTATTTGGTTTTGCCGTGAGGTTTTTTATTTTGCCGTGAGGTATTTCGTTTTTTGTTATTACTTCTTACGGAGGTTATTTGCTAAACACCAGACTTTAAGTTCCTGGTGTTGGATTTTCAGTAGCTGGTCTAGATCGCGCAAAATTAGGCGTTTATCAATTTCAAAGTTTTTTGTTTATTGTTGTCATAGTAATCAGATCGATTTTACTAAAACCTACATTTTCACAAATTTCAATCTATAGTCAGTCATTGCTGAAATTTTTATAGCGATCAGACAAGGATAAAATCAATTTTAAAGCGATTGAAAAATATCGGTATGGCCTCTGAAAAACTATATCGAAACACGTTAATAGTAATAGTTGTCTAAATTTGTTTGACTTATATCTCACATCTTGGGTTGATTCGCAAGGTAAAGAATTATAATAGTCACCCTCCGAGATCTGTATATTTCTTCGCATCTTACAAAAGCCGAATTCAGTAATTGTTTCAGGTTATCATTCATTCAAAATATTTCCAAGATCTTAACAACCTAGCCTCCGAAACATCCGTTTCTGCTTGCTCTTCGACGTGTCGCGAGGAGGAACATCTGCGACTCAGCGACAGATATTCCATACTGATGACGTAAAATCTGTCCGGAATCCGATCAGAAGCGCTGATTGGTCAACGGAGTAGTTACATTGTTTTAGCTATTGTTTACGAATGACAGACAAAAGACAAAACTGAACGCCACAAGGTTAGCATTTATAATAGATAACATCGAGTGAAGCCAGATTGGACACCTTATGAATTTTACACAACGCATTATTTTCATAATGGAACGAGACTGGAATGTAGAATGAGGCTAGAATAGCTGAAGAAACCAAAACTACAGAGCGCCAGTTCATGGAGAGAACACAGTAGAGAGTTAAGTACCGATCTGCAGTGATCAGGGTTAAGCACTGAACTGAGAACGGTTAGCTTTCAAATATTGTAATGGGGTACGGGATAAGAACATGTATATTTTAAAAATTATTGGATTTGGCAGCTAGTCCTCGATGGTGTAGTGGATATGGATGTAGGCTATAAAGCAAATGACCCGGGTTCAAAGCATCACAGTGGAGTTATTCTATTTTATTTTATATTACACAGTAAAGTTGGACTTAAGTTGTTCTTCATGTAATTTTACTGAAAGAAACAATCTGACTTCAGCCGATGTTACCTAATGCTGACCAAATGTAAATGGGAAGAATCTCTAACAATAAACAGTCAACATTTGTGAAATATAATCTTCTCAAGAGGAAGCATTTGAGTTTGCTTGAGCTCGTTGGGAGATGAACACAATACTTTACCAAAATCGACCAGAAGACGCGTAAAATTGGTCAAATTATTATATTTGGAACCCCATGACTGCTGAATTTATTATGTAAACATTGGTTTGCGCCAATCAGTATGGAATTTCTTCTCCTGAGTCGCAGACGTTCCTCCGCGCGAAACGTCCCCAGCGGCGAAGAGCGAGGAGAAACGGATGTTTTCGCTGGCTATTAACAACCTTACCTTTGGGTAGACTTTCTTCAAAACATTTTCCTGTTTCTGCTCGGTGTCTTTTTCTTGCAGATACGGCTTGTCAGAAAGTAGGTGATATCCATCACTTAGAATTTTTGGCGTGTTCTTGTGAATTTCTTCGGTTTGGTTTTATTTAGAAATTCGGCTATTTCGTCTTCGGATTAAGCTGCACTCTTTCGACATTTGTTTGAGTTCACTCATGCATAAACAGATAGGCTACCACGTCACTGCATGGAAACGAGGCTTCTATTTGATATCAGGACAATAACCACTCTAATCGATAGTGCATAGCCTAAATGTTCCAAATAGCATCTGATCAAAAACGACGAAATATTTTTGAAGGAATATTAATGCCAATTGTGAGTTGTTGAGTTTTCGAAGCTGTTCAAATCTTTGATCGAAACGTCTTTGAAATTATATTCGTTAATTATGAACTCTGTGCCTCGTGTTTTATACTTTATAAAACAATCCTGCTCGTTGATCAAATTCTATAACAATTGTTTTCATCTAACAGGCTCAGTACTCTTCGTTTCTTATAGTTACATATTAGTTTTCAGTACTCGAATAGAGCCATATTAAACCGTTAAAATTCTACTACCACAAGACATAATTATGTCCTATTCTGATCTTTTGACCGATAGCATTAATTTTTTTTTTCTAATAAGCTCTACCGTATTCTTCATTGTTCCTTGTCGTAGCTTGCACTGCTGGAGTTAGCATCAATGGGGCATCAAGTGGATTGTAGCAAGCCCCAATTTTCCAAACAACTTTGATCCTTTATGTACCTGTATTCTACCTTAAATACAATCAAGACGTGTTGTCTGAAAAAGTACCCAGATGTATGCATTCTTGTTTTTAACTCCTTATAGCTTGCGGACCTGGAGTAAGTATCAGTGGGACATCAAGTGGATTTGTAGCAAGCCCCAATTTTCCAAACAACTTTGATCCTTCACAAACATGTGTTTGGACTATCACAGTTCCCAGTGGGCGAATCAAGTTGT